CAGCTGAGATCTGAAAGCCACTGGGCTGGGGATGGAGCTCAGTGGTAGTGTGCTTGGCCAGCAGGCCCTGGTTCAATAGGACCAAGGTCAAAGAGTACCTGAAACTTGTCATTATTCCAGTGGATTCTGGTTCAGTGAACAGTTCCACTGTCTATCAAGTTATGCTGGTTAGAAATTATAGGGAGCATTCACTATGTTCATTATTCAAATTATTACACAAACATTCAACAACATACATCATGTTCCTATGTTGAAAGACATGGTATACTGTATTTGAAATTCAAGACCCATTTCTGTGGCATCAAAGCAGCAGCTAGCTCATGAACAGTCTTAGAGACCATACTAAGGATTTTGATTTTTAGCCTAAGGGGGGAAGCCACTGACAAGTATGAGGAAAGGTAAGAGATTGGATCACACTTAGGTTTTAAAGTGTGTTCTGTGGGAATGACTTCTGGGAATGCTTTCTGCTACAAATAGAAAATTTCCTAACCTTATAACCAAAGTTAATTTTTTCGTTTTGAGATCACTTAACACTACCTATTCAATCTGCCTTCCTACTGTGCAATCAGCCTATTTAAATCTAAGTAGCCTTTAGGAAAACAGTGTAAACAATCTTCCTAGGCCTTGGGGTCCTCTTGTAATCAACCTTATAATAAACAAGTTAAGCTAAACAAATAGCTTTCATCTTAGATTATGTTCCCTATTTCTCCTCCATGACTCTTCCTTGCCTCTGGTCCAGAACAAGAGAGAGAGAGAAAGGGGGGGGGACAGGGGAGAGAAAATCATTGCTGAAAGTAGTAATGTTGAAAGCAACAAATTAACCCTATTTTGTGGTTTTTATGTTGTTCTGGATCAGTGGGGGTCAGAAAACACAAAATCTTCCCTAATAAGACAAGGTTTCTCATTTCTTTCCCATGTCATGCTGGATGAACTATTTACATAAAGAGAGGAGCTGGAGAGATAGCTCAGTGGTTAAGAGCACTATTGCTCTTGCAGAGAATCTGCATTTTGTTTCCAGCACCCAGATGGCAGCTAACAACTGTCTGTAACTCAGTTCCAGGGGACCTGACGCCTCCTTCTGGCCCCTGTGGGCAATGCACGTACAAGTGAATCTACATACATGCAGGCAAAACACTCAAACGCATAAAATGAAAATAAAAAATAACAATAGAGTATGCTCTGTGAGAAATCAGAAGGAACAAGTAGTGAGACCAGATCGAGCTCACTCTTGGTTGAAATGACTTCAAGAGTCAGGCTGTCATTGCATAGGCACTGATTCTGGCATATTATTCTCTTTTTAGAATGGAAAACGGGAAACGGGAATCAGAGAAAAGGCCAGTGTAGCTACATGGGTGAGAAGTGTGAATACTTGGAAGAGAGTACCATCAGTGAACAGCAGCGTGGATGGCTTTAGTCCTAGTAAAGAGATCATGATGAGGGTGGGGAGATGGCTCAGATGGTAAGGCACTTGCTTTGTAAGCACAAGGACCTGAGCCTACTTTGCAAGTTTCAGGCCAATGAGAAAACCCTGTCTGAAAAAAAAGGTGTATGGCACCTGGGGACTGACATCTGAGGTTGTTCTCTGGCTTCCACATATATGCATGTGTACACACATGTACATACAAAAGCAATTATGCCAAGAGGAGGTGATGACTGGTAGAATTTCTCTCCCAGTTAAACATTGTTAGTCACTATATATAATTGAAAGCTGGTTATATAAAGGGAAGAAAGAATTTCACTGGTCATTTTTGGATTTAATTAAAATTAAATATATTTTATAACAGCACTGCACTTAGGCCTAGGTAAAATATCCTTTTTCTTCCTCCGAAGGGCAAGGAAACCAGGAGGTCAGGAACCATGCCTGCTGGGAGTCTGCACAGCTCTTATACTGCCTAGATCTGAGGGCAGACTGAGCTGCTGACTGCACATCACTATTTTCAGGAGAACATGATGTGGATTTATCTTAAACACATCAAATATACACAAATCCTCTTTTAATATGGTGGGAGGAGACTAGGGGTACAAAGAGGATGGAATCAGTCTAGGACTCTAAGAGATCTAAATTTAAATTTGGCTTCCTAACTCATTATAGTAGTGGTTTTGTTAAAGTAGAACAGAAGGTACTGTAACAAACTTGAGTTTGTTATTCTGATTGATGATAACTTAAAAAATATTTTATATTTATTTTATGTTTATGAGTGTATTGCTTGCATGTATGTAAGTGTCCCCATGTTGTATAATGCCCACGGAGGTCACAAGAGGGCATCAGATCCCCTGAAACTGGAGTTTTGGACAGTTGTTAGCCGCCATGTGGGTACTGGCAACTGTACCCAGGTCCTCTGCAAGAGCAGTCAGTGCTCTTAATTGCTAAGCCATCTCTTTAGCCCCTGATGTTAACTGTTAAATATTTAGATAGGTTGTACATGGGCTCCCACAATGACATTCTTGCTCAGGTTCAGCAAATTTAGGATCAGTCCTGATAACAGTGGTTATATGGCAAAAAGTAGTAAGTTCATATACATGAGAATTTTTTTGGCATTTTGGTTGTAAGCCTTACCCTTTTTAAAAAATTTATTATTTTTATTTTATGTGTATGAGTGTATTGCCTTCATGTAGGTAAGTGCACCCATGTCGTGCAATGCCTGCGGAGGACAGAAGAGGCCCTCGGATCCCCTGGAACTGGAGTTATGGACAGTTGTTAGCTACCGTGTGGGTGCTAGGATTCGAACCCGGATCTTCTGCAAGAACAACCAATGTTCTTAACTGCTGAGCCATCTCTCCAGCCCCAGGCTTACCCTTTAATGGCTACACCATCTCTATAGCCCCATGAGAATGTTCTTTAGCAGAGCCTTAAAGAAGTCAGATTTTCCTAAATTTCAGTGTAGGAGATGAATGAAAGGTTCCCTGGCACTACATTTACCCATACAAAAGGCACTCTTTATAGGTCAATGGTTACAAAATTTTTATTTTATTCTTTTGAGACAAGGTCTTACTGTTTAGCCCTGGAACTCACTATGAAGACATAACTGACCTCGAACACACAGAAAGCTGCCTGCTTCTGCCTCTTGAGTGCTGGGATTAAAGGTATGTACCATCACATTGGGCCTTGTACTTTGAGACAGGGTCTTATGTAGCCCAGGCACACCTTGAACTTATTATGTAGCTGCAGATGACCTTGAACTTCTGATTTTCCTGTCTCTGTCTCTACCTCTCAAGTACTGGGATTACAGATCTACACTACCATGTCTAGCAAGAAATTACTTTTTATTTTTTCTGTTTTTTTGAGACAGGGCTTCCCTATAGTCCCAGCTGGCCTGGAAATCTTTATGTAGACCAGGCTGGCCTCAATCTCAGAGATCCTCATGCCTCTATTGAGATTAAGGGCATGTGCCACCACTCCTGGCTGCAAGAAATTATTTTAATTGTGATAGTTTCAGTGTGATTTTGCAAAGTTTCTTGAAAATGACAGAAGACTGTGGTGGGGAATCTTAGTAATCATGCAATCAAATTGTACTCATTTAACACATAAGACAACAGATATCTTAACAGGCACGGGAGCCTGACTAACCTTACAATGCTGGTGAGTAGATGGTTTCCAGTCTTATCCTCTCTCCCACCATATGCTACTACTATTCCTGAAGGCATATGCTACCAGAGCATTCTAATTACTGTTTCCACTAGCTCTCACTATAAAGAATTACATATTTTAATTAGTAATACTTGTAGCACATATTATATACATTTAGTAGATCATCAGCCAGTCACTCACTTCCTGAACATTCTCTTCCTTTGAAAAATGCTTTCTAAAGATGGAGAGGTGGAAAACGAATTTCAAAAAGGCATTAGGGCAACTGATACTGTTCAAGGAACTCAAAGTTTAGTTCTGAATACCCAAATTAGGTAATCTACAGAAGTAAAGAAATACTCCTTTATCTATTTGGTTATTTTTCTAGTCAGTTCAAATTTTGTTGCTTTTAGTTAGCATTCAAAAGAATGGGTTTAATTTTAAAATATTTTATTTTTATTATTTTTATTTTATGTGTATTGTCTGCATGTACTGCTACCATCTTGTGCAATGCCCACGGAGGTCAGAACAAGGCATGGGATCTCCTGGAACTGGAGTTATGGATGGTTGTTAGTCCATGTGGGTGCTGGGAACCAAATTCAGGCCCCCTGCAAGAGCAGCCAGTGCTCTTAACTGCTGAGCCATCTCTCCCACCCCGAGGATGGGTTTCATTTTTGACTTCTTCATACATGTATATCCTTGCTTGCTCATATTCATTCCCCACTACCCTCTCGTGTCCCCTCCCCTGCTCTTGCTGGCTGGGCCCTCTCCTTCCTCCAAATAGTGCCCTCTGTATTCATGTTCTGTATAAATGTGCAATTTATTCTGCAGATGAGAGAAAACATGAAGTTGCTTCCTTTCCCTATTAGCTTTTCTTACACTCTCTCTCCTGTCCTGTTGCCCTCCCCCCATGGTCTCCCATCTAGTTTCATGTCCTATACATACTCAAACTTGGATTACATACACCAGAGAAAATGTGCAAAATTTGTCTGAGTCTGGCTTCAGGAAACACTCTTTATATTATTAACAATCTTGTTCTAAAAACTAAGAAATACATGTACAAACCAATACTAAAATTTGACACCCCTCCAATCTTAAGTAACGGGATGAGAAAAAGGGTAACAAAATAATTCCAACTTCCTGAGCTCACTAGGATATTCATTAAACATTACTGTTAACTGTTTTTATAAAGTAACTGTGTTCTTCTTAGGAGTCATAAAACTTCCTTTCACTGATGATCTAATTTGACTGTTACAGCTAGTCTTCTGTCCTGTTCTCACCCATGATCTAAAGTTAAACACATACTCTTAGCTTTAGCTACAACTGTGTTTTAAACCATCTACTCAAATTCCCTTCTTTAAAGCTAAAAGGCAAAGCACAAGCTTAAGAGTAGATCGAACTCTCAGGACAGGAACACGAAAACACAGACATTAACTTGGTTTTTTAGACATTTATAAACATCGCTAACGGAGTTTTCTTGGTGAGTTTAAGGTATAGTGATAATAAAATAAAAACCGTTAGGATTCAATCGCAATTTAAAAAGTCTCCAAATCCTGGATGAGTTTTACCTTCCTTCTCAGACTAATTCAAGTTAGCTTTGCAGGAAATTCTCTCCCCTTACTCAAATTTTCAAGTAAGGTAACTTTTTATATCAAGAGATTTCTAGCCTTCTCCATTCCTCGGATACCGAACAACGAAAGACGTGTAACTACCGGCAAATTTTCTCCGCTGAGCTGAGCATCTCTGAAACACGTTTTCAGAACCTGCCAAAGTAGGAAGGGAGCGAAGCCACCTCAGGGTGAAAGAGTGGTACAAATACGGCAAACTCTACGAGGCGAACACCTACGCTACCTTAGTCGTGGTGCGGCAGATTTTGGGGTTCTTCCCAGGGCACCCGAGTTCACACCAAGCGACGGTAGGAAGCCGGCCCTCTCCGGTACCGCGCCACTAACCGTGCCCGGAGGGCTCTGACCTCGAAAGAAGGCCCGCTTGGTAATCACAGCCCTACCATTTATGACCACGCCTGTGATTGGCTAATGCAAACATCCTTCATTTTAATGTACCCAATAGAAGCCCAGCGCGCGCGCGGGGGGGGGGGGCAAGTTGAGCCCCGCCCCTGGCCGAGGGTCCGCCCCTTGCCCCCGCGCTGGGGAGCCGAGGAGAGTAAATACAACAGGAGCGCAAAATGGCGGAACCGCCGAACCCAGCTCACAACGCGGTGGCCCTCCTCGCTGAGAAGGAAGCATTCGGCAAACTCCAGTCTTCGTCGCGGGAGCCCCCGGGTTCTATGTCCGCCAAGAAGGTCCGGACTGAGGAGAAGAAGGCACCGCGAAGAGTGAACGGGGAAGGGGGCAGCGGCGGGAACGGCAGGCAGCTGCAGCCGCCCGCGGCACCTTTGCCTCAGAGCTACGGCGGCCCCACGGCTTGGAGCTTCGCGGCTCTGCCCGCTGCCTCCTCCCCGTCCCCTTCTCGGAGCTGTTTTTCCTTCGCGGGCCCGGCTGTCTCCTCAGCCTCCTCTTCCGCGTCTCAGCCGGTGCCGCACAAACTGCTGGTGGCCCCCTCGCTCCTGCACGCTCAGCCTCACAGCGTCCTGCTCCCACCCGCCGCTCCCTCGGCTGCCGCCAAGCCGCGCAGACCCAAGGAGAAGCGGGAGAAGGAGAAGAAGAGGCACGGCCTTGGCGGCGCAAGCCGCGATGAGAACGGGGAGGCGAAGCCGCAGCCGCGAGGTGGGTGCCGCGGGGGAGGGGAGCGGCGAAGTGCGCGAGGCCGGGCTGGGGAACGCGGCGGGCCGGGGAACTCGGTGTGGGGAGCGGGCCGGGAGCGGAGGTTGCAGCCCCAGCGGGGCAGGAAATAGAGCCTGTAATTTCAGTCTCAGAGAGGAGACTGGCCGAAACTCTTTATTTTCGATACTGATTTTCCCTCTTAGTTAATGCGCTGCTGGACTTGTAGGACTAGGTTGCGTTTGGCTAGAGATACAGAAGGAGAGGTGAGGTCTTAAAAATGCGCGATAACTAAAGGATTGAGACGCGATCGCAGAAATTAATATTTGCAACACAGACTTCAACACCAGGAAACCCCCCCCCCCAAAAAAAAAGGTGGCGGAGAGTATCGGCGGAAGATGGAAGCTACCCGAGGCCTGAGCGTTTCATCCCTATTAGGGAAATGCAGTGTGCAGGGCCCCGAGTGTGCGGTTTCTGAGGTGTCCACCTTCTGCCCTCCTAGCTGCCTTGTATTCTCAAGTGTTTTGAGTGGTCCTGTTTGAAATACGCCCCAGAATTCAGAAGCATTTTCAGCCATATTTTTTTCTGTAGCAAATGCATCAAGAGCTTTGACTTTTTTATTATTTATTAATTTTTTTTTGCCGGATCTAGTGACTGCAAAGCGTTTTTGCATTAAATAGGACACATTTAAGTGTTCTTTTCTCTTACTGTAATTTTTCAATATTTCTTTAAAAGAAGGGGGTCCTTCCTAGGTCAGCTGTGAGTACGTAGGGATCTGACAACACAGCGTGGAACTGAGAAGTAGACCTCTATGTGATCGCAAGCCTACAGCCTGTCGTGATCGCTATTATAAATATACATTGTCATTGTCACTCAGTGTTGTGAAGTGATTTTTTTTTTTTTTTGTTTCGTTTTGGAAAGCAAGTGGAATGTCGAGCAGTTTTAGCATTTGCGGATCTAATGGTAGCTTAGATCTTGAACAATTATCGAAATTAGAATGCCTTATTTTTCAGTTTCAAAGGATGATGCTACAGAGCTTTGACATCTAAGCTAAGCTAATGGTCAGGTACTCTGGTCCCAGTGCCCCTAGGAGTGTTTTTGAAGTTGAAATTTTTATTCCTTCTAATCGGAATTTTTAGATGGTTAGTATTTTTAAACTGTTTTAATGGTTAAATATGAAATTTAAGTTATAAGTGTTTGGAAATCCATCCGTATGCCGCTTGGAATCTGTCTTTTTTTTTCTGGTGTGTAAGCTGCTCATCTGCTTTTTCTAAGTTCTTCACGGAAGTGAATGTAGGTATTACATTGTTGGAATATTCAAATGGCAGAAGAGAAATAAGTATTTAAAAACAAAATACTGGGGGGCTGAAGAGATGGCTCAGCAGTTAAGAGCACTGACTACTACTCAGAGGACCCAGGTTTGTTTCCCAGCACCCACATGGTGGCTAACAACTATTTGTAATTCCAGTTTTAGGGGATCTGAGGCAAGCAATACACTCATACACATAAAATAAAAATAAATAATTAAAATATATTTTAAAAAACCCTATTGTGTACACATGTGGCCATTATAGTGAAATGGTTGTTAAAGAGACATTGTTATAGTTTGAAGTGACATTTAAAACCCTTCTTTTGAGGGCTACCACTTATTTTTAAGTCCAAGTATAAGTGGTGATAGTTTTTACAGTAAGATCTGGGAATGATATTTTCCCATGACCTATGTGGAGTAATGACTAGGCATAAGATTTTTATTTTTGGACAGATTTTTTTTTTGAGAAAAAATTAAAATCAAAGCAAAAAGTTTTCTAGTATCTTGGTGGAAACTATTAAATTGGAAATTATTGCTCTGAAGTTTGAGTTTAACTAAGTTTGGGTTCTGTTTTAACTTAAAAAAAGTGACAGTGAAGTAGCAAGATAACATACATATTTTTATTGAAGTAATTGAAAGTCTACAATTCCCAGTTTGTAATATGCTGTTTATTTCTCTCTGCCTTTTGTAAAAGTCCTAGTGAAGGAATGACCAAATGACTGATGTTTGAGGTATTTACTTTTTAAGTGTGTCCTTAAGTTGGCTGTATTAGTTCAGTGACCCCTCAATAATCTGGTCATAGCTTATTGATCTAACAGACAGTACCAGAAGTTAGCTATAAAGATATTTAAGAAAAATAGGTTTTAAGATCTGCATCTCTATTAAACATGTAAGCTCTTTTATTTACCTAGGGGTTTTAAAAATCTTTAGAACTACTGTTATTATTTTTTGGATTTGTTTTGTTTTGAGATACGATATCCCTTTGTAGCTCAGGCTGGCCTCCACTTCATTATTGTAGACCAGGGTGACCTCAGACTCAAGGTGATCCTTATGCCTCACCTGCCTAAGTGCTGGGATTATAGTGTGAACTACCACACCTGGTTAGAACTCCTTTATATTTACACTGGTGATCAACCTAACAGAAAACATTCAAATAAACGTGTATAGGAAACGACCTGATACAACATTTAGTAAATGTTGAGTCTGAAGCATGGTTATTAATTTTTTTAACCACATAAAAAAATTAAAAGATTAAAAAAAATTTTATGGGGTTAAAAAATTAATAGGTGGGTCAGTCTTGATAGAGGAAAGGTCATTGACACCATACATTTTTAAAGCTAGGAGGAATAAACAAGAAAATTATTAATCTGAACCCTTGAGTACAGAGCTGATACATTCATTATACATGTGACATCTTCAAGGCTGTTTGGTGATAATAGTGTTTTAGATGATAGACATGAATGACAGTCTGAGTCTGCAAATAAATTTGTTTCTTATAAAAATGCAGAACATTTTAGGGTTTAAATTAAAAAAATACTATGTAGTTCAGGCTGTTTTGGAACCAACTGTGGCCTTCCTGAGAGTCCTGAGTTGCCAGGATTACAGACAAGGGCCACCATGCCTGTTTAGATTTATGAAATTACAAAATAATCAGATGGACCTACTGAATTGAAACAGCCAATTTTCATTTGAATTGAAAAGTGTGGAGCATGGACATAGTGGTGCATACCTGTAATAAGAATATTTGGGCGGGAGAAAGAGGATTTTATGTTCCAGGCCAGCCTAGACTACATAGCTAGACTCTGTCTTAAAACAAAACAAAACAAAACAAACACCAGGTGCTGTGGTGCACACCTTTAATCCCAGCACTCAGGAAGCAGAGAGAGGAAGACCTTTAAGAGATTGAGGCCAGCTGGGGTTACAGAGAGACCCTATCTCAAAAAAAGGAAAAAGTGAAAAATAAAAATGGACATGTACTGAAGATATAACACACCTTCGTCAATTCCAATAACTAGTAGAATTTGTATTGATCTTCTAAATTTTATTCTTTTCGCTTCTCTCTCTGAAAAGATAGTTTATTGAGTATATTGCAATAGGAAAGCCAGCTGGAGTAGAGTACTGCCTGCAGCCTGCTTTGTATTTTCCAACTGATTTTTTCCTTAGAATGATCCTGAAGTATTCCAAACCAGAGCATTTTACTGTTTTTTTAAACGTTGAAAATATAGTTACAGAATTGAACTTCAGTGAGAATAGAGTATTTTCTTAGAATTGAATACATTGAGGTATATAAAATAGTGATTTTTAAAAGGATGAGTGTTTGAAGATCTTTCATCTGTGCTCTCTAATACTGTACAGTATTAGGTTAAATTCATATTTAGGATGTCTTCTTTCTGCTTGTGTATGTGGCACAGAATGCAGAGGATGGATGTTTACATTATTTCCTTAGCTGACTGTTTTACTGAACCCAAAAGATTGCTGTTTTGACTAGGCTGGCTGACCAGGGAGCTTTAGGGAGCCACCTGTCTCCATCTTTCAATGCTGGGGTTACAGACATACTCAGCTATGCCCAGCTTTTTATGTGGGTGCTAGGATTTGAACTCACGTCTGCATGTGTGCACAGCAAGCTCTATTACTCACTGAGCTGTCTCCCTAGTCCTGTGTTTAGAGTTTGCATCATGATTGTCACTGATGAGAGGGGATCGTTAACTGATTTAGTTTTCTCTCTATATATATCTTTTCTTTTGCTTGGTTTTCTCTAGCAAAATCTTTCTGTACCGTCTGGCAGCTCCTTAAAATGCTTCTCTACAGTTTTCTACATCGATAAATCTGTCAGATGCACCATACTCCTTCTGTAGCTGTCCTGCGTTAGTCTGGATTGCTTCCTCCTAAGGCTGCCTCTCTGTCCACCTTGGGACTTCAGCTGACATTTGGGGGAGGCCTTTCATTCCTGCTGCATTCCTTTTTTCTGGACTCACTCTTCCTTTTGGTTCACTCTTTCAGTTTGATTTTCTCTACCAGAGGTAGTGAATATGAGGAAACTATACTGGTCTGGAATTTATTTATTTATTTATTATTTATTTATTTATTATTTATTTATTTATTTATTTATTATTTATTGGTCTTTTTGAGACAGGGTCTCCCTGTAGCCTCAGCTGTCCTGGAACTCACTATGTAGACCAGGCTGGCCTTGAACTCACAGAGATCCGCCTGTCTTTGTCTTCTGAGTGCTGGGATTAAAGGCGTGTGCCACCATGCCTGGCCCTGGACTTTATTTTTATTTTCACACTTGACCTTTTAGCTGTTGGGACATTTCTTCAACAATTTTTTTTTCCCTAAAAAGTTTGAAGATGGTGTTCTGTTATCGTCTGGCTTCTGGTACTGATGGTGAGAACAGTTGACCTCTCCAAAATGCTGTGTGTTCTACCCTGGGTTATTTCAATCCTTCCACTGGTTTTAAAATTTTCAGCTTTAAGGGAAAATTTGTAAGTTCTTGTGTTTCTGTTCCTCTATTGTGATAGATATATTTTTTTTTTTGCTCCTTTGTAATGGATTCAGCGTATTTGTTATTTAATTCAAGGATGCTAATTATAGTGTCTTTGAAATGTTTTGTGTCCTGCATTGATTTTGGTTCTTCTAACCTTTTTATTTCTTGGGATGCAGAGGCAGGGGATCTTTGTGTAATGGAGGCCAACCTGGA